TACTTTCTACATAAAAGTTGCTCAGAACAATGAAACGAATCCGAATATGCAGTCCATTCGTCCACCACGCGTCCCTAGCATAGAGAACATGCAACAATCCACCTTCGATTCATCTGGCCGAAAACGTCAAACACCGAGAATACTTTCCCGGATGTTTCCCCCCTTTTGTTGATGTCACCTACTACCGTGTTAGGGCATACCTAGCATCACAATTTGCCTTGTCATGCATCGTCATGCATCTGTTTGCAATGTATTCATTGTTTCTTCCCCCTCTTCTCTCCGGTAGATTACGAGGCTGACGCCGCTGCTGCCTCGATCGACTACGGTGTTGATGACCCCTCCTTCTCTGTCGAGCTTCCAGGCAAGCGCCCCCCTGATAAACCTGATATTGCCTATTCCTTCTCTCTACTACTTGCATTAGAGTAGTGTAGCATGTTAGTGCTTTCGGTTAATACTATTCTGCTGCATAGCCTGTCTTCGCTACTACTATTGTTACCTTTACCTGCAATCCTAAATGCTTAGTATAGGATGCTAGTTTATCATCAGTGGCCCTACATTCTTGTCCGTCTGCCATGCTATACTACCAGACCGTGATCACTAGGGAGGTGATCACGGGTATATAGTTACATACATACTATACATGATGCAGATGGTGACTAAAGTCGGGTCAGCTCGTAGAGTACCCGTAGGCGATTCACGGATTGGGGGCTGAAAGGACATTTGTCACGATGGCCCTTTGTGTGGATCTTTGTGGCAGAGCGACATGGCAGGTTGTGACCACCTAGGAGACAGGTGGTCCTGGTCCCTGATCGGTGTCCGCGGGTACATCAAATAACACACTTAACCAGATCTTGGTATTTGATCTGAGTTGGGTCGTTGACCTTATACGCACTAACGGCCATGTGGGACAAGATATGGGCAACCGGCGTCGTGGTATCAGCCGAAGCCTCCCAGACGTTAGCGACTGAGCGGCGCGCGCCGGGTTGGACCGCGTAATGCAACTTCCTTTGTAATGGAGGTTGCTAGGTCTGCTCACCGGCCGCGTACGCAACGTGCAGGTGTGCAACGGGCGATGGGCCTAGACCCCTGCGCGCATAGGATTTAGACCGGCATGTTGACCTCTCTATTAGGCCTAGGTAGGGTTGTGACGTGTTGATCTCCTGAGGTTGAACATGACCCAGGAAAGTGTGCCCGGCCAGAGGGATCGAGCGTGTCGGGTAATGTGGTGCACCCCTGCAGGAAAGTTTGATCTATTCGAATAGTCGTGTCCATGGTAATAGGACGACCCGGAGTTGTACCTTGACCTTATGACAACTAGAACCAGATACTTAATAAAACACACCCTTTCAAGTGCCAGATACAACCCGGTGACCGCTCTTTCACAGGGCAACGAGGAGAGGATCGCCGGGTAGGATTATGCTATGCGATGATACTTGTTGAACTTACCAGCTACTCTCTTCTACATGCTTCGAGATGGAGGCTGTCAGAAGCGTAGTCTTTGATAGGACTAGCTATCCCCCTCTTATACTGGCATTCTGCAGTTCAGTTCACCAATATTACCCCTTTATACAGATACCAATGCATATGTAGTGTAGGTCTTGCTTGCGAGTACTTTGGATGAGTACTCACAGTTGCTTTGCTCCCCCTTTTCTCCCTTTCCATTCTTCTCGGATGTCGCAACCAGATGTTGAAGCCCTGAAGCCAGACGCCACTATCGACGACGACCCCTACTACTCCGAGGGTGCCTACTACTATGTGCAGGCCGCCGATGACCAGGAGTAGTTTAGGAGGATCCCAGGCAAGAGGCGTGCGCCTCTTTCGATCTGTATCCCAGTTTATGCTAGCCATCTTATGGCACCTTGTTTAACTTATGTCTGTACTCATATATTGTTGCTTTCGCTGACTCGTTTATGATCGAACACTTGTATTCAAGCCCTAGAGGCCATTGGCTTGTAATATGATGCTTGTATGACTTATTTACTTTTAGAGTTGTGTTATGATATCTTCCCATGAGTCTCTGATTTGATCGTACACGTTTACGTGCATGATTAGTGTACGATTGAATGGAGGGCGTCACAATATTACTTATATTCTTATATTTAGAACTATATAATAATCAAATATAATATGCTATATTTATTTTATTTAACTTTAATCAAGAAATATTGCAACCAATCCTGGTTGCAATGCACAGGATATCATCTAGTTAATTTGAGAAAATGGTGCACAAGTTATACAGAAAAGGACGATGTGGATCTTAACAACCCAATGGACAGTGGATCCGTAGCCGCTACGACTCGGGCCATTAACTGCGGTTGGATTGAAGCGGTATTCGTTCATCGTCCAGCTCTCACACGTACATGAGGAAAAAAAGAAAAAGGTCAACCCAACAGCACATCTCACGCGAGGGGAAATAACGGCCGCCGGCATCCGCGGCGACTGCCAACCCCATCACAGCACCGCTCAAAGAGAAAAAGCATCCACATGATTGTTGCTGCGCCGTCTCTATTTGCCCCTTCATCCTCAGAGGTTGCAGCCTCGCTGGCTGGTCGTCGGCCTTCAACTCTCATCGTCTTCCGGTTCCAGCTCCCGCCGTAGATGGTTCCAGCAAGCCGTGGTGCCAGACGTAGCACGCAACAGGACCACCGTGCCGCCGTCGCATCACTACTGCGCCGCCGGTCGCAACTCTCAGCGGCACCACTCACACCCTGTTGAAGCTTTTTCTCGCGTCGGTTGAAACTTATTTCCACGCTGGTTGAAGCTTTTTTTCACCGTCTACGTTCGCTGCACAGGGTTGCACGAATGATGGCCACCAATCATCACCATTAAGATAGATGTAGCTAAAAAACTCGCTGGTGGTAGCAAAAGACAACGACATTTGCAACCAAAATCATCGTCGTTATTGTCCCGGGTGCATCTCTGCCATGAATTGATGTAGCAAATTTCTTCGTCAGTTGTAGCAAAATCCGACAACAGTTGCAGCAAAAATCATTGTCCCAGTCATCTGCCCGAACGCCGGCCACCAATCATCACCATTAAAATGGATGTAGCAAATAAACACGCTGGTCGTAGCAAAAGACAACGATAGTTGCAGCAAAAATCATCGTCGTCGTCGCGGGTCACATCTCTACCATGAATTAATAGAGGGTGAGGGTGTCGACGAGTCATGAATGATTTAGGCATCCGACCACACCTTCCTCGTCGCCTTCCTAACATAGAATTGGGCCATGCTCCTTAGAGGCGGTTGAACATATTAAAAGATCTTTGGCATGTCAACTTTGTCCATGTACCACAAGTCCACAACCTTCGCTATAAGGTGTCATATGCACCCTTATTACTCATAATCTCGACCACATGGCTACACACTTATGGAAAGTTGTTTCTATAAACAAAAAACATATGTATTTTTCTTTGGAAAAGGATCTAGACCTTGTCTAAAAATTCATCAGAAGTAGAAAGCAACTCAACATAATAATTACATCGAGGTTCTTGGACCACTGAATGACCACTAGTGCCATCAGAACAATCCGTTGACGCGCCGTTGTCGCCGCACCCCACTGAAGCCTGCCTGATCTTATTGATGACAGTCCGGAACATGCACGTGCCCCTGAGGACCAGGGCTCTGGAGCCACATCCATTTCCGTTGAATTCTTGATTCGATCTGAAGCATCGAACATTGAATCTCACCAGCATACACGCATGGCGACAAAGCCTAGCCTTGTCGCCCGAAGAAGACGGCAAGTGTTCTATCATAATGCCTTTATCTTTTTATAATAAGACCAAAGCCATTTACATCTGAAAATGTAGAGGAAAGGTGGCTCTACATTTCTTTCAAAAGATGAGCGATTTTTTTTCGTGAGTACAAATGCATCTCTTCTGATTGTTTTGCAAATTTAAGTGACCGGTATTTAAGAAGTATTTCATGCAACCGGGGTTGAGGAAGACCCGGGAATAACAAAAGTACAAGTGCAACTGTTATGAATGTTTCAGCTTTATCTTCTTTTTGCTGCGAATCGGATTCGAGACACTAGCTAGTACTTCCCTCGTCTTATAATGTAAGATTATTTTGCAAGCTAAAAACATCTACGTAACTGTGCAAGCACAACATATCAAGCCCTGCTTTCATCCTATCGCAAAAAAAAGAGCTCTGCTTTCATCCGTGATCCATCCAGAGCGACTCGCACTGCTGCTGGCCAGCCGGTGGCACGCATGCACCAGTGCTTTTTGAGTTTTCTCAGCTCTGGTTGCCCGGCGTGGAAGCCAAGCACCACAGGATCGGCCCACTACACAAAGGCTGCGATGACCAACATTCTGCACCCTAGCTTGTCTACCAACAAATACATAATTTTTGAACTTCAAAAAAGAAAATACAGAATTTTCGTTCTATCCAGTCGGGGCTCGATAACTCAGGTACCGTTCTTTTACATCTCAAGAGCAAACCACCACATGGCATTTTTCTTTTTTTTGCGGGAACACCACATGACAATTTTCCTTTTTTGCCGGAACACCAGATGACAAATGTGGTAAGCAATCTAAACTATTAAAATAAAAAGAGCAATTCTAGCTAGCTCCGACCGAGCATCCATGGATTTGCCAGTTGCCAAGTATTCATCCTCCATAGAAGCTGTGAGCCATTGGCGATTTGAGTTCCACCCCAGTGATTAATATTTCCCCATAGTTGACTCGCCACCGGCAGCTGAAATCTGTTGATCCACCAAAACCACAATCCACAAGTAACATCATAACCATTGATCCTCTGCATCGTGCTCCCCAGCTGCATACCACCATTAACATCGGTGCCCATTTTACCCTGCTACCACTCCCGTTTATGGAGCAGCCTTCTGAATCCCAATTGCTGCGCGCCACGTGTCACTTGTGTTCCTTTTACGCTCCTTCCATCCACTATAAATAGCTGGTGACCTACACATGAAAGAGCACAAGTCACAGACACACGTAATAGCATCTACGGAGTAGCACACATTACTTACTTAGCTCAAGAGATGGCCAAGGGAGCGGTGATGCTTCTTGTTCTCTTCATCACGGTGCTGTCCGCGGTGAGTGAGGCCCATAGGCCCGGTAACAGGGCCCTAGCCCATGGGCGTCGCCCGGGGGCCGACCCATTGGCACCGACACACCTTCACTTCTACTTCCACGACAGCTCGACGGGTGCGTCCCCATCCGCGATGCGGGTGGCAGGGCCGAAGAATGTGCCGTTGCAGACCCTTTTTGGGGCGGTGTACGTGATGGACGACCCGCTGACGGTTGGGCCAGATCCCCGGTCAGCGGCCGTGGGACGGGCCCAGGGACTGTACATAGGAGCAGATCAGACGTCAACGGGCTTCCTGCAGGCCATGAACCTCGTCCTCACCTCCGGCCCCTACAACGGCAGCTCGCTCACCGTGCTCGGCCGCAACAACCCGTATGCTGACGTCCGCGAGATGCCCATCACCGGCGGCACCGGCGCCTTCCGATTCGCCCGCGGGTACGCACAGGCCCGGACCTACTCGATGGACCTGAAGACCGGCGACGCCAATGTCGAGTACGATGTTTATGTCATGCATTAGCATGCAAATATTTGAGGGCTTACTGATTGTAATGCTTCAGTGTGTTTTCATTTCATTTTTATTGCTTACTTCAGGTTGGCCGTGCTTTGAGATTTGGACTTTTCCTTTTCCTAAATATTGCTGTGCCTTTGCTTGGGTTAATCGCCTAGCAAGTGGCAAGAAATAAACGGGCCTAGGTGAAATGTGGTGTGCTTTTTCTTGAATCAATGGAAACTTATTTATCGCATTTAAATTTGTGTTCCCTTCTTTGCGCTTCTGAATTTGATTGCTTTATGACTTTATCCTTGCTGCTCCCTTCGTTTAAAATTAAGTGTCGCTGATTTAGTAATTTAGAACCAAGGGAATAGTTCAGAAACTATAATTTCTAAAGTATTCTAAAGAGACTGACATCTTGCCATCACCGATGTAGATTTTTAAGTCGCTTTAAGCTGCGTTTCAGTCAGTGCTATTTTTCACTCAGTGTGCTATAGCATACTAGCATTCCTCCAATGTTTAATACTCACATGGGTCTTAGTTTTGAGCTCAAATGTCATTCATTTTTTTCTTGTGGTTTTAACCCCTCGAATCATGTCAAAGAAGATAAATGATTTTTATTCCTTATTATGACTTGATCTTAGCACTATGACCCGGTCTTCAGATTTTTTTTCTTGTTTTTTGCTAAGACCCTTCCTTACAATCCTCGAGGACAGGTTTTAATGCTATTTTTGGGCTTAAACGCCATGTCTTTGCAACACAGGAGACGCCCGGGTCACTAGTTCACTACTACCTAGCAACTAGCATGACAATAATGTAGTAGGCCAAATTACGTGCGCCGACGTTTGGTCTACGGGTGTCTATACACTCTATATGGAAAAAAATAGTAATTACACAAAAACTAAAAAAAATCTGAAAATATTTTTGAAATAAACTTGACCTTCCATTGTACTCCTAAAAAATCCACGAAAGAAAAAAAAACCCGTTGACTTCAGAGCCAAAAAAAGGTCAAAATAGTGTGAATAGTGACTTGTATATAGCAATATTTTTTTATTTTTTGCCCTAAATTCAAGTCTATGTTTTTATTCGCGAAAAATTATATACTAGTGCAAAAGAAAGTCAAGTTTATTCCAAAAAATGCTTCTGAACTTTCTAACTTTTTTGTAATTATTATTTTGTTCTCCATATAGGGTGAATATACACCCGGGAACCAAGACATATTTCCCAACAATTTAATGCATACTGTCGTTGCCTGCAAATCTAATTTTGATCCCGAGCTCAGATGCTCCTTGGATGAATTAAACAGTAAATTCGAATCAAATACCAAAAAAAACTGAAAATTTCACACATCAAAGATGAGAGACTCTTCTAGGTTCTTGCAATTTTATTTCATTGAGATGACATCTGAGGAGCTCGATACAAAAATAAAATAAAATCGGAGCTCGAATCTTGTTGCAGCATTGGACATTTTGGAGCTCCAATTTTCTTATTTTTATACTGAGATTCTATGATGCCACCTCAGGGCGATTTGCAAGCACCTAGGAGAGTCCCTCTTCTTTGATGTATAGAACCTTCAGATTCTTTTGAATACATTTTCTATTTTATTTGAATTTACTATTGGCGCGGGTGCCGATGACCCAAGCACCAAAACGCCTCGTTGGTACCTATAATATTTAAGTTGCCAAGTGATAGTTACATTATAAACTAGATGATACCCCGCGCGTTGCTGCGTGAATCGATTGCAATATATTTCAGTAAGATGTGATTGTATGAAATATAAGTACTTAGATTAATAGCACATGAAGAAAAATAGAAATACATATGACTTATAATACTTAATTATGTATAGTTGTAAAATATTTGTTGAATATAAATAGAATAATAGAATGAAAAATATTTTCCCTTGCATGGTTGCATGTGGTGATGGGTCTTTTTTCCATGCATGGTTGCATGTTAAGGTGAGTCTTATCCCATTCATAATTATATGGTGATGTGGCATGTTTGCATGTTGAGATAAATAAATTACTGGAGATCACTCTCTTAGGTAGTATATGGCATAGGATAACTAGAGTTTCTCTGACGAAAATGTTCTCATGGATGCTGAAGTGAATATGTACTTGTACTAGTAAAATCATAATGTTATAAATGAAAATACAAAAATCAAGTTAGTCAAAAGTAAAGTTAAAGAGAAAACTATTTTACTCGTCCACATTTTGTTCCTCATCCTTTCAAACCGAACATGACTCGTCCAAACAGTGGTTTGGCATTGATGTGGACCTGGTATTGAGAATTGATCTCGTCATATTAGCGCCATGTCACACAATATGGGTCCAAAAATCTCTCTCGATTCCCATCGCAGTCCGATAACGAAGGCAAATTGCAGGAATAGCATTGCACAGAGGCGCGGGGCACAATTGCAAAGGTGTTCGAGGCTCTTAGGTGGAATGATGTTGCGTTGTTCTTGGCGGAGGAGTCATGTCATATTTTTCTTACGGGTTGGGGATGCTCCTCCCTACTCTATTCCCACTCTCTCTCCATCCCTCTCTATCTCTACCTCCCTCCCTCTCTCTCTCATGTCCCCTCTCTTTCCAACTGGGGTCGAGCAGGGTTGAAACGACGAGTGCGAGAATAGACCTCGAGAAAGGTAATACGAGGGAGCAGGCGCACATTGTTGCTGTAGCTCGGGCAACAAGGTGGTGGCCACAGTTGCGACGTCCTTGATGCCGAGCTCAAGGCGGCGGAAATAGAGGCTCCTGCATCTTAGATTCTTGAGAGGAAAGGGACGTCGGTAGTCAAGGTGCATGACATATCTTTCTCCTCGTGAGGAGGATGGTGGCCACGAGCTGCATGACCACAACGGCGTCCAGGCGTGTCGGGAAAACTGATCCACGAACACCTATGGGGCCGGCGGACCGGGCCCCTTTCGGTTCGGCTGGGGGCGGAGATCACACGAAGAGCAGATCGAGGCGAAGCACACGAGCAGTTTACCCAGCTTCGGAGCTCTCCGGAGAGATAACACTCCTACTGCTGCTTGTTTGATGATCTGGTGTTCTTGCTCCAGAGAGAGAGCGTAGTGTTTTTATGGGTTCTCAACCAGTCGAACCTCGCGAACCAGTCGAACCGAACCCCCTCTACGTTGCGCATGTGCCTCCTTTTATACGCTAAAGGGGTCACCGACAGGTGGCAACGCAGAGAAGGGTACGAATGTAAAAAGTGAGGTGGTTGGTACAGTTACTTGTACAGTGCACCCTACCTAACCCTGACGGCAGGGGACAAGGGCATTAAATGCCCGTCTGAGTCGCCCAAACAGTGCAAAAAAGGACCGTTAGGGGCGCCACCGTACGCCACGATGGCGATCTTGTCAGCTCCGCATGCCACTGCGCACCGCTGGCTACACAGCCTCCCGCCACGCGCGCCTGGAGAGGCCCCCAGGGCGACACATTGGTGGATGCACTGGAGCGTGGGCACAGAGTGGCCGCCTGCCGCGGCAAGCGCCTTGCCGCTGCTGTTATCTTGTCGGGTCCGAAAGCTTGTCGCTCACCGGGCCTCGAGGTACCTTGGTTGGTCCTCCCGGCAAGCTCCTCTTGCCGGGGCCTTGTTTCCTTGCCGGAGCGCGTGGCGCGTCGTGGCGAGTTCCTTGGAGTGCCTTGGTTGGCCTTCCCGGCAAGCTCCTCTTGCCGGGGCCTTGTCTCTTGAGCTTAAATACTTTGTTCTTGAATGGCTCCAAGGGAACCACGGAGGATCTTGGCGTTCGCCCGGCAAGCCTTGCCGCGGGGTGCTGCAACTGCCCGTGCACAAGTTCGGGGTACTAGGGTACCCCTATTCTAGTACACCGACAGGAGCCCCCGGGCCTGGGCCAGACACGGTGCCGAGCGCTGTTGGGCCAGGCCCAAGACAGGGCACGGGCACACGCGGACTGGGCCACGCCGAATCTCGCTCCGTATCCACCGCGCTCTCCCCTAACGGCACGCGTTGAATGCGGCATCGTGGGAGAGATCGTGGGTGGTTCTTTATTGGGAAGGGCGAAACGTCTGCCCCGTCCCTCTTTATAAGCAGAGGAAACAGGGGCAGTTCGTTCCCCCTTGCTGGTTGCTACTACTCCGTCTTCACGAACCTCCGTCGCTCCCCCCTTCTTCTCGAAGCCGAGAGAGCAGCGCTCCGCCCCCCATTGCCACCAGCATCACCAACGCCGTCGACCTCCCCCACCACCTCCGCCATGGCTCCGAAAGCCGACAAGGGAAAGGGCGTGAAGTCGGCCAAGGCGCAGCGGCGTGCAGCGCTGCGGAAGGAGCGGGCGATCTTCTCCCCCAGCTCGGCGTGAAGGAGCTGAGGGAGTACTTCTACCTCTTTTGGGCGACGGAGACGCGGGCGCATCCGCGCATGAGGGTACTCCCGGCCGCTGCTTCGGAACTGGCTCCAAACGGGTACCCATTCTTCGCGCTGTTCTTCTATTGCGGGCTCTGCCCGCCCTTCTCGGAGTTCTTCTGCGATATCATGAACACCTACGGCTTCCGCCTCCTTGATTTCACCCCCAACACCGTTCTGACCATGGCAGTTTTCGCACATTTGTGCGAAAACTTTGTCGGAGTCCACCCCAATGTTGCCCTTTTCTGCCACTTCTTCATACCTTGGGTAGAGAGAGGAGAGCCGCTTGCCGGACGGATCGCCTAATCTCGAGAGTCGGCAAGAAGGAGGCGTACTTGGAGGGTGAGCTCTGCAGCAAGTGGGAGGAATGGAGAGCGGAGTGGTGCTGGATCGTCGAGGAGAATCCGTAGCCCTTCACCGCCGTGCGCCAAGCTCCAATAGTGCGCGGCAATGACTGGAGCAACATGGCCCCGGAAGACAAGAGGCTGAAGATCGCCATTACTAGGATCCTTCGCCTCAGGCTTGCCGTGCTCACTGTAGGCGCAGATTTCCTCCCCCGCAGATCTAGAGATAAACCTGCTGAGAGCAGCCACACAACCGGCAAGCCTTCGTACATCCTTGACGCGCTTTGGTGCTTCGATCTGCTCAATGGTCTTGATCTT